GTTCTGTCCGTTTTGCTGCTGCTGTGGCTGGCTCGCGTGCTGCGCGGTCCTTGCTTTTTTTTCCGTTGGTTTTCGGGCCTTCTGGCGCGCGCGCGCGCGACCCCAGTTATTGCTTCGTTAGTTTCAGCCGAAATGATTTTAATTTGGTCACCAATAGTGAGATTCATTGAAGAAGCAATCGCTGAACCAACAATTACAGAATTTTTATTTTCCAAATTATCGGGCTGCTCTTTTTGGGCTGCTTTTTCTGGGTCCTCTGGCGCGCGCGCGCGACCCCATGTCAGCCTTCTGGCAGAAAGCTGGCATCCCCTGCATCATCTGGGGTTGGGGTGGGCAACATGCATAACCTAACCAACCATATCATAGCACAGAATATGTTTCTCTTACAAAAAACATGACATGACATGGCGTAACTTCAAAGAGGCGTAGCTGGCTGGAGGCTGCAGGCCCAGAAAATAAGACTTCTGCGCATAGCGGCGGGCCCCCGCTGGCAGCGGCGGGCCAAGGCTGATGATTTAAAGAGCCTATTTACTTATGTGCATAGCGGCGGGCCCCGCTGGCAGGCGGCGGCGGGGCTGACAGGGCCTGACGCACAAGACTGCGGCACACTGATGCTTATTATGAAGGCACACTGATGCTAAATAATTAAAGAGCCTATCCCTACTGCTTAAGAGCCGCCTGCAGCGGCAAGCTCGTAAATATATTGCTTATGCGCATAGCGGCGAGCCCCGCTGGCAGGCCCGCTGGCAGGGCCTGATGCACAAGGCTGCGGCACACTGATGCTTATTATTAAGGCACACTGATGCTTGTCATTAAAGAGCCTATCCCTATTCCCTATGAGCCGAATTTTATTACTTACGTGCATAGTGGGCCCCGCTGGGCAGGCGGCGGCGGGCCCCGCTGGCAGGGCCTGATGCACAAGGCTGCAGCTTATTAAAGAGCCTATCCCTATTGCCTAAGATCGTAATTATATTACTTGTGTGCATAGCCGCCGGCTCCGCTGGCAGGTGGCGGCGGGTGTTTGCGAGCGTTAGTCTCAACAAATTCGCCTTGGCAGCATTGATGCATTGAGGAAGCTTTTGAACTGCGCAAACGCAAAACACCCTTGTGGATTTGTATCGCGGCATGAGCGAAAAAGCATGCTTGCAAGCCTTGCGCTTGCAGAGTCGGGCCTGCCCAAGCTATGCGACGCGGAGCACCTCATCAGGGGCCCCGATGGCAGGGCCTGATGCACAAGACTGCAGCACACTGATCCTTATTATGAAGGCACACTGATGCCTATATTAAAGAGCCTATCCCTATTGCCTTTCTTTCTTTCTTTCTTTCTTTCTTTCTTTTCTCTCTGTCTTTCTTTTCTTTCTGTATTTCTTTCAATCTGTCTTCCTTTCTTTCTTTCTTTCTTTGATTATCTGTCTCTCTTTCTTTCTTTCTACCTACCTTTTCTATCTATCTATTTATCAATATTCCCCTCTTTCTTTCCACCTACCTTTTCTTTCTGATTTATCTATCTATCTATCTTTCTTTCTTTCTTTCCTTCTGTCTCTCTTTCCTTTTTCTTTTGTTATTTCTTTCTTTCTTTCTTTCCTTCTTTCCTTCTGTCTCTCTTTCTTTCTTTCTTGTTTCTTTCCTTCGTTGTTTTCTTTATTTGATTCTTTCTTTCTTGTTTTTCTTTGTCTGTATTTACTTCGTTCTTCCTTTCTTCCTTTCTTCCTTTCTTTCTTTCTTTCTTTCTCGTTTTTTCTTTCTTTCTTTCTTCCGTTTTTCGTTGTTTCTTTATTTTGTTATTTCTTTCTTTCTTCCGTTTTTGTCTTTCTTTCTTTCTTTCTTTCTTTCTTTCCGTCCTTATTTGTTTCCTTTTGTTCTTGATGTTCGGTCTTTTCTGTCGGTTTTTCTTTTGCTGTGTTTTTTTGCGCTGTTCTCTTCTCTTTGTATCTATCCATCTATCTATCCAGTTTTCTATCCACCATCCATCTATCTCTCTATCTATCTATCGATCTATCTATCTGTCTGTCTGTCTATCTATCTATCATCTATCTATCTATCGATCTATCTATCTGTCTATCTATCTATCATCTATCTATATCTCTATCTATTTCTCCATCTAGCTAATCTATTTATCTATCTACCTACCTACTGATCCATCTAGCTATCTGTCCAATCAATCTATCAATCTACTATCTACCTACTTCTATCTATTTGTCCGTCTATATAGCTAGCTAGCTAGCTAGTTATCTATCCATCTCTCTACTACCTCTCTTTCTATCTATCTGTCTGTCTGGCTTTCTTTATTTCTTTCGTTCTTTCTTTCTGTCTTTCGTTCTTCCTTCCTTCCTTCCTTCCTTCCTTCCTTCCTTCCTTCCTTCCTTCCTTCCTTCCTATCTGTCCATCCCTCTATCTCTCTATCTATCTATCTATCTATCAACCTGTCGATCAATCAATCTTTTTAGTCTGTCTACCATTTATCTATTTCTCTCTATCTCTCTGTCTCTTCATCTTTCTATTTATCTCTCTATCTCTCTATCTATCTCTCTATCTAGCTATCTAGCTATCTTGCCATCTATCCATCTGGCACTATATCTGTCTAGCAATCTATCTAGCTATCTAGTTATGTAGCTATGCATCTGGCTGTCTATCTAGCAATCTGTCTATCTATCTAGCTCGCTTCATCAAAATATCTACTTCGAAAACTACTTTTGTACTTGACTTTTCCAATTTTCAAGCTGCAGCTGGAGAATGTACTTCGAATATTACTTTTGTACTTAACTTTTGCGATTTTTTCGAGCTGCAACTGGAAAAATGTAATTGTACCTTCGATCACGAAAGTATTACGCCTGCCACGAAATCTGTACCTCACCTTGCGAAATCGCTGCACCTGAGCGAAATCTGTACCTCACCTTGCGAAATTGCTGCCCTGCCACGAAATATGTTGTTGACCCTGCGAAAATGCTGCCCCTGCCACGAAATATGTACTTGGCATTGCGAAAATGCTGCCCCTGTCACGAAATCTGTACCTGACCTTGCGAAAATGCTGCCCCTGCCACGAAAAATGCTGCGCCTGCCAGGAAATTCGAACCCTGCGAAACCTCCGTGTTGCTGTTTCAATGGGCCCCGCCCCGAGACCGTTCCGAACCCGCTCCGAGACCGTCGTCGGACAGGCGTCGCGACCGGGGTAGCTTTCAGCCAGCCGCAAAAACCAAAACCCGCAGCTCGCACGCATCTATTCTTCCTATATCTCATCTTTGCGCAAGCTACTTTCAATTCGTATCCGTAACACGGAAGTTCCTTGTAAACTTCCTTTGACAAGAAATACTACTACTATTACAAGTACTTACTACTGTTACTACTTTTATCATTACACTACTAGTACTACTACTACTACTACTACTTCTACTACTTCTTCTACTACCACTCATACTACTACTACTACTACTACTAGTACTGGTACTTGTAGTACTTCACTATTTTCTTACTACAACTATTATTTCTACTACGGCTGCAAGCACTATTACGACTACTACCACCGCTGCTATTCTACCACTTCTACTACTACTACTACTACTACTACTACTACTACTACTACTACTATCGCAACTACGACTGCTAGAAACCCCTGCCCTCAAAGACCCGCGCCGACACCGCAATCAAAACAGCGCTCTCCGGGGTCACAAGCTCCAGGGACAAAGTTGGACCGCCTTTTCTTGCAGAGTGACACGCCTCAAGCTCTCCTAGCCCATACGCCAATCCAAAAAAGCTTGAAACCTTTGATGGAGCCATCGCAACGTCACAGAAGAATACTGACTCGCGCAACGCCACGCCCCCCCCGCCCAATCGCCCCAGACGAGCAAGCCCTCGGCGTGCGCCTTGAAATCGAGGTACGCTCCGGTCGCATATTGGTGCGAGCAGCCACACCAATGCCGTGCTGAAACATGAGGTTTACCAGCGAAGAGAAAATTGTACCTTGCCCAGTTTGGCCCAAGCCCTTGAGCCAAACTATTATGTTGAGAACGAAGTGCGCCTACCAAAACCTCAATTTCCTTGATCGCTACTACTACTAGCCAGTCGGACGGGCGCCCGCTGTACGGGTGCGAATCACTGGTCGAAGCGCCAGCTGTGGAACCAGGCTTCGAAGATAGTCCGCAACACTCCGGAACATGGTCTGAAACATCCTACACTTGCAACACTCATTGGCAAACTACCTAGTGTTGACATGCATCGTAAGTAGTAGTAGTAGCAGCAGCAGCAGCAGCAGTAGTAGTAGTAGAAGAAGGAGGAGTAGTAGTAGTAGTAGTAGTAGTAGTAGTAGAAGTAGTAGTAGTAGTAGTAGTAGTAGTAGTATTAGTGTAAGAACAGCGACAGTAATAGCAGTAGTAGTAGTAGAAGCAGCAGCAGCAGCAGCAGCAGCAGCAGCAGTAGTAGTAGTAGTAGTAGTAGTAGTAGTAGTAGTAGTATAGAAGAGTAGTAAGAGCAGTAGTATTAGTATTAGCGGATAAAGTAGTATCTCGGACTATCTCCCACGCCACGTTCCACATGGCTCAGCCAACGCCCACAGCTGACCTTTGCAGCGCAGCAAATGGCGGGCGGTTGATGTGGAAATGATAAAAAATACTTTCGCTACTGCTACTACTACTACTACTACTGCTACTGCTACTACTACTATACTACTAGTACCACCACTACCACTACCAATACTACTACTACTACTACTACTGCTACTACTACTGCTACTACTACTACTGCTACTACCAGTCTTAGCAGCAATAGCAACTAGTCTTAGTGGTAGTAGTAGTTGTAGTGATATTATAGTACCGGTAGGGTTGGAACAGTAGTAGTAGTAGTAGTCGTAGTAGTCGTAGTAGTAGTAGTAACCGGATTCTGAAGTAGTAGGCCAAGCAGTAGCAAAACACACGCTTGATCTTCCATGTATCGTTTTACAGGCGTTTCACACATGCGCCCCGCCTCCGGACGAAGCCTGAAACAAAAAACGTCACGCAGTCACCGGCCTGCTCCAAGGCAAAGGACTCCACCAGCTCAAGGCTCAGGGAGTAGCACTGCAGGGCCCAGACTCCAACCCAAACCCACCCTAAACCCACCCTCATTCACCTGAACCCACCCAATTGGCCAGGAACGGGTTTGCAAATTTCAGAGGGCCAGCTCCTTTTGGCACCAAACTCAGCTCAGCCATCGGTGCGCAGGCTTTGGCGTTGTTTGCCCGTCGTGCGCGTGACCAGCTTGCTGCAAGGCCTTTAGCCACTGAAGCCTCTGACGCCATGTCATCGGCTCGGCGCTCGGCGCTCCAGGAACTCAGCCCTCCTTGGCCACGTTGCGCTGCGCCACTGGCACGTGGGCATGTAGGAAATTCCTAGTTGACCAAGGCCGGCTTTGTGTTCAAGAGTGTGAGCCGCGCTTAATAGCCCAGAATGCACGAAGCTAAGCCTTGCTCCAGCCCGCATTTGCTTAGGCGCGTCGCGCACTGTGTTTTTTGCGCAGGGTCAGTCGACTGGAAACACACTCGCCTTTTGACCAACTTTGGTTCGAACATTAAAGTTCCCTTAACCCTCAAACTGGCAAAGGACTAGAAGAGGGGTGGCCCAAACGCAATGTTGGCAAGGTTCATATCACAGCGCAACAAGAGGTCTGACTCTGTGCTCCGCGCAAATTCTGCGAGCACATTTAGCTGAGCAAGTTTTCTGCGCGAGTGGCCGTTGTCTGAAAAAAGCCTTCAAATGGCAGCAAAGGAATGCCCCCCTGAGCTTTCTACATCCAGATCGGGGTATTAAAACGGTCTACCCAAAACCATGTGAAGAAGAACAAAGGCGGCTGCACCCATCTACAGTTGGGATTCTCCCTCTGCGAAGGTCTGGGCTTTAGCCTTGCGCAAAGAAACCTGTCTGCAGCCACGACACGGCCTCAAGTCTGAAAGGAAGCCACAAGTCAGCGTATCTAGGCAACCTGGGCAAAGCTCAGGCGCCCTGGAAGTTGCCAAAACAAAAACAAAGTGCGCAATTCTGGATGGGCCTCCAATGGTGTTTTTCCTGCGTGTCTGATTCTCCCTCCCCACACTCCATTTGTCCAGCTCCAATTGCTTGCGGGCTGCTCCGAAGATGTGCTGGTTCATAGCGGAGATCGATACATCCTTGCCCCCGTGACTCTCCAAAAGTGTCCGAACTTGAGAATCAGATTGTGCTGCGGTTGGAAAGAGAAATCCACTTTGCGTAACCCTCCCTCTCCAACCCTGCAGGTCCTGTAGGTCTGGTACGCCCCCCTTCTCAGAAAACAGCTGTTGCCGCGCGGAAGCCGAGGGGTCTCGAAACATGCGCGCCTGGGCGCGCAAAAGTAGGAGGGCAGGGGGCAATTCCGGACCAAGAGAAAACGTTTAGCGCTGTCTTTAGGCAACCGCAACACAGCAGCCTTAGCGGGCGTTAGTAGTAGAGGGTCTGGAAAACATAACCGTTCCCTTTTGACATTTGGCAAGTCTTCCTCACGGCGTTCCGTTTTACATTCGGTTTCCCATTCCGCAAAAACAAGGAGACCAAGGCAGTCTGGGCACGGAGTCCAAGGGACACGCTGTCATCATGTTGAAGGCATTGTAGCTGCAGAACACGAAGATGGCCTTGCCACAGCCAGGATGAACTGCGATCGAGGATTTTTACAGCTGAGAGTTTCAACAACAGCCAGGCGCTGAGTCTTGCTGGCTTGGTTTCTTGAGTGGCAGCTTCAGGAAACGCAGGTTGCCACGCTTGCCTTGGTAAGGTGCACTTTGTGGCCCTGGGGGGCAGGGATCACAGGCTACGTCACCAAAAATGGAACTTGGTCAAGCAACGGCTTGCAACCCGGAATCCTGAGAGATTCAAGACATTGCGGCTGTCGCGTGCCCCTCGCCGCTGCTGCTGGATCATGCGTGCGTAGTGCGCAGGGCTTCGCTTGGCAAATTTTCCTGCTGGCCACAAATGGGGCAAGCATAAGTCATACTCCGAGGATTGCGCAGCACGGGTGAACGAATTCCACACCTCCCGTCGCACGCACGTGCGCCTGCGCTGCGTCGCTGCCTCTCAGAACGCTGTATGTCAGGTTGCAGGCCACTCCCCAAGAGTCATCCCCGTGAAGACACACGTGGCATTGAGGCCCCTGGGCTCTTCATACGAATGGAAGCGGACAGCATGCGCCTGTTCTTACTCGCCTTGTCGAAGCTGATTGCAAAACTCACACTGACTTTCGGCAAACACACATCAACGTGTTAGACGAACGTATTTCGCGCTAGCGCAGGCAGCTTCCAGTTACTGTTGATTGCCTCAACCGCTTCGATCCAGCAGAAAGGCGTGGTCGACTCCTCTCCTCCATCACAAGAATACAGCCACGGGCAGAGCCCTCTTGCTTGAACACACAGAAAAGCTTCAGAACACAACGCAGCAAGTGTTAGCGAGGCTTCCCCAAATTGAATGAATCCGGGCCAACGTCGTTTTTGACAACATCTCACCCTTCTCGCCGCGAGGGCCCCTTCGAGGCAATGCCCCACACTGGTGCGCGGCGCGCGCGTTGGCAAGCTTGGCAATTGCCCCTCCACGCGTCGCAGCGCGTGCTTCTTGGCTGGCTTCCTGGCTTGCTTTCTTGCACGCTTCTTGGCCTGCTTCTCGGCCTGCCTCTTCGATTGCTTCCTTGCTTCCTTGCTTGCTTGCTTGCTTGGTTGTTCGCCTCCTTCTACACTTGCTTTGTCGCTTGCCTCTTTGCTTTCTTCTTGGCTTGCTTTGCTGACCTTCTCGCCTGCTTCTTCTGCCTCTTGGCTTGCTCCTTTGCTTGCTTCGTTCTTTGCGTGCTTCTGCAACTACTTCGCGCAAACGCCGCGATTGGCCACGCGATGTCTTCGCAACATGAGCCCCACGCTCCGGGGGCACATCAACCACAGCTTGACCAGGCGCTTCTCAATCTGGAAGGGTGCCTCAGTTGCTCCAGTGTCCATTTCCTTGCAGGCCTTCCTACAGGCGATCCGGGAAGCAGCCTGACAAGAGTTGAGCGGCCAGCTGAAAACATGCACTTTCCAGGGACAAGCCCAGCGGGCGGGACAGCATTAGCGCTATCCGCACTCCACGCAACAAAAAACTCGTGGTGGGGGCGAAGCCACATGTCGGTACTCTCAGGCTAGAGCAGGAACTCACGGCGAACCTGTCCATTGAGCATAATCGGCACGCAGCTCGGGAAGTAGACACTTATAAACTTCCCACTTCGGACTGCAACACAGGGTGTAGCTCACAAGAACCCCTGACCATTCGCTGGAAGCTCTTTGGTGAACGTCGTAGTAGGCCTGGTTTCGCGCGGACAGCATGCGCAAGCAATACGCTAGTCACCCCAGCTTGGCAAGCACATCGTAGGTCTTCTCACGCATGTTCTGAAACTGAACCCGCTCTGCTTAGCGAGCTAGCCCGCCTGAGAAACCCCAGTTCGCCACATCTCTGCAAAAGGCTCACAAAGCATCCTTGGCTGCACGCCGTTGTTGTTGTTGGCGCAAGCACCCTTGGCGGAGGCTGCAGACGTCTCCCATAGGTGTAGTTGTCAAGGTCAAGGAGAGCCAGGAGGCGTCTGAAGAAGAAGCGGCTGCCGGTAACACCACTCAGGACTTGGTCCCGGGCTTGCTGGCTTTGCTTTGCTGTGCCGGTGCCGGTTTTGCAGTTAGGAAATGTTTTTGTTGCTTGAACCGGTGAGAGCCTGGGTTGAGACAGCGTGACGAGCGGATGACTGGAAATCTAGGATGCGTGCGTCAGCGTAACTCCGCAAGCTACCTTGCTGGAGTGGAATGACCTGCAGGTCCGCCACAGGAGGGCTGCGGCAGAAGCGCGTCCTAAACAACAACCTGTACTCAAGTGGTTTAGACCATGAGCAAAAGGCCAGCTGTGACAGAAGGCCTGTTCATTGTTGATTGATGTTCAAAAACTGTACGGCCTCACAAACAGAGCAAGCCCAGAGTCTGCAACATGCGGGGGGGGGGGGCTGTACGCTTGGGAAAGAATTGCACTTGAATCAGCACGCATATGAACTAGCACGACATGCCGCGCCAGTGGAACGACATAGACGGGCAAAGCTAATGCCCACCACTTGTCCGGGTAGTAGAATATTCCCCAGCCGCGCAGCCTGGGCCAAACGCGCGCGGATGGCTCGTTTCGGCTCGTTTGCTTGGGTTACTTAATCTCGTCAGGCATGTGTGAGAGATAGGCAACTCACTTGCTGAGTGGATGGCCCCAAAAAAGTTCAAACTTTAAATTTACCACTAAAATGGTCTTCCCAAAAAGTTTAAAGTTCATGAACTCAGGAAGTGAGGCAAAGATAAGGATATATGTGATAGAGAGAAGCAAAAACAAACTCTAGACCAAAAAAAGCGGCACAGGGTGCGGGATCTCTTGCTGTCCTTGATAGGCTTTGCCTGACCATCATCGCTGTGAGACTAGCACATGCGCCCAACATCGCCAACCTTTGTTGACTTGGCGAGACGTTTTGATTGGCGAGACGTGCTGTCCAATGATGGGCTATTTGCATTGCCTGCGCTGCCTGTGTTGCCCGAATCTTGCAGGTCCCAAGAGTGGGGATACAATAGGAACCGGACCAAGACTTCAAGCCAGGACCTCGAAGATACCGAAGACGAAAACAGTCCAAATGAGCCAAGACCATTGGGGTGCCCTTGACACATACCAAAGTTCTGCACTTCTCCCCGAGCAGCCTCTCCTCTGGGAGGAAGACCCATGCCAGCCACACCTTTGACGTGAGAAAAGAAACTGTGCGGCGGTCACTTGTGTCAACTTGCTATTTGTTTGTTTTGAGGGACGCTTTCTTGGCGCTGCTTTGAAATGAGATCAAAGAAACCATCCACTTGGAAGCCCCTTGCTAGTTTGTGGGCACGCTATATGCTACACAAAGCCACCAACTGCCAGGCTGGCCTAATTGTGACGGGCATGGACAGCTCCGATTGTTGGTAAACTTTTTATGGCAAAATCATCCTCTGCGTCCTCCATCTCCGTCTGAAAATTCCCAGGAGCAAGGAAGGCCAGGTGCGACGCAAAGTAGCTGGCGAAGCTGTGGACCTGGTGAAAACCAGCCTGAAATCAGCAACGGCCAGCTACCGCCACTTCCTCCCCAAATCAACCGTAGGCTTCCAAAATGGTCAGCGACAATGAGGCACCCGCCTCCGTGCTCAAACGATCCATGAGGCGATTGGAGCTTGGAGCTTGCACCAAGTTCGCCGTCAGCGACTTGTATCGAACCCGCTTCCTACCCGGGTTGCAAAGCGCTTGTTCTGGCTACCATTAAACGAGTTTAAAGCTGAACAATTTGCTTCTGGCAACTGAGACTCGCTTGTCCGGCCTTGAGCCAAAGGCAAGCGGCCTTTGCAAAATTCCTCCCCAACAGGCTGCGCAAAGCAACAAACACCGCAGGTGCTTGCAAAGTTTCCCTTGCCGGACCTGCCTTGAGAGTCATGTCCACCTGGCGCACTGGAGCCAAGCCGCGCTACCGTATCAAACCAGGCTGGAGGGACTGTGCGTTAACCTTCATGCGCCCGCAAAAGACCCCGACCCGCAAGGAGGAGCTGGATGGGCTGATGATACATGCAGGCTTCACACATCCATGCCGAGGACCTGTTTACAATCCTCAAAACTTGTTTGGCGAACAGATCGTAGGGAAACAGGTTGTTAAAAACTTTGTCATCTTGGGCCAGTTTTGCGCTTTTGACGTTTTTTGACGGATTCTGTCGGTTTTTGTCGGTTTTTGTCGGGTTTTGTCGGATTTTGCCGGGCTTTGTTGGCAACCTGTCATTTTCAACGTCTGGCTTTCGTTCTTGGTTCGCTCCTTATTATTCGTGCTTGCAGCTGTTGCTGTTGTTGCTGTTGTCAATTGACGTTTGTTGCACGGCTGTTTGGTTGTTATTATTGTTTGTTGCAACAGTTGTGTGACGTGTGTTGCTAGCTTTTGTTTGTTATTATTGTTTGTTGTAAACAACTGACAACAGTTCAATTGTGTGTTGTTCGTTTGCTTGTTTGTTTGTTTGCGTGCTTATTGTTTGTTTGTTTGTTTGGTTTGGTTGGGTGGTATGTGTATTATTATATATTTATGTAAGTATGTAGGTGTGTAAGTATGTATGTATGATTGATGTATGTGTGTACGTAACACGCACATACGTAGGTATCTATGTGTGTGTATGTATGTGTGTGTATGCATTTATGTATCTATGTCATGTATCTATGAAAATTTGTAGGTGTGTAATGTAATTAAATTATTTATGTCATGACAGTATTTAACCATTGACCCCATCTGAGTGCACGCAAGGCAACATAGGGTCACGCTGTCTGGCTTACTTTTTGGCTCAGCTTGCAGAGCCAATCTCAAGTCACACATGGTTGTCATTCCTGAGTATCTCCTTGAGACGCGGGAGAGAGCCATCGCAGTTGTCAAGACAAACCCCAACTACTTGCAAATGACCAGCCGCGGGGACGACACCAAGCCTTTAACGCCAAGAACTGATGTCACAAACAAGCATGAGTGGGAGCGGGAGTTTTTTGTTTGGAAAAAGACCTTCGCTCAGCGGCAGCGCCAAATCAAACCAGTTGGTCTCGTGGAGGAATCTGTGAAGCCTCCGCCCGGCTTGACACGGACACTGCCGCTCAAAGTTGGGCGTGTGCACAGGTGACTTGCCAGGGAGCTGCTGGTGCTGTGCCAGGCCGCTCGACTCCGCTCCAAATTCAAAGGACTTCACATGCGCCTGGGGCACTTGGAGCAAGCCTCAGAGAATATCGCCTCCGAGGATCCAAGATGCCCCGAGCGAGCAAAGGCTCGTGGCCGCGCGCTGTAACTGTAGCCAGCACTCTCCACTCGGCGGGCACTCAGATAGAATCTTTTGGCGCAATTTTAACGTGGCAGCCTGAGCAGGCAGAAGTCGTGCTGGTGCCGGGCCTACTCAGTGAGGCTGAGGGTCCGGTTACCTGGTTGGCGGCAACTAGAATTTTCTCTAAATCAATTTTTGCAGTGGCCGCACCTGGCTCGCAGGCTGGGCCGTGCGCCTCAGTCTCATCCAGTGCCAAGTTCAGTGTCACATCCCCCAAGAATATCATCAAGGCTTAGTGCCGTTCTTGGGGAAGGAACAGCCTGCTTCTGACGCGTGAAGACTGAACAACGGTGTCAAAAAACAAATGCCAAGTCCGAAGACCCGCGCAAGGAGCAGTATGTTCATTCATGACATGTCATGATGCGCAAAAATTGCTCAGCAGCATGTCATTCATCAAACAGCAGCGAATGAGTGCACCGAGGACGTGGCGGCAACCTGTGACTGTGGGTTGAAACTGAACTGGGTAAACATGCCATGCTACTTGTTGAGCTGAACCTTTTAGGAGAGATTGTGCTTTATTTTATTTCGGCATGCTGCCCAGCTGCTGTTGTGACGGTTTGTGAAATGGTCCAGTTGTGTTCTGGTAAGTTATTGTCATTCACAAGATCCTAAATCACTGGACAACAGGGATGATGACATTGGATATGCATCTTGCGATTGAGCCGTTTCCATTCAGTTAGTCTCAGGACTCAGTGTCAATAGTGGAAAATGCCATGCAGGCACTCCGGTTTGCGCGCCACCTTCGTTTTTGCGTGGGCGCGTTTGCAGCAGCAATGCGATGTGAGGCAATGGCCGGATGACCTGTAGTTGGGCCCAGTCAAAATTTATTTGGGAAGCTTGGCAGCAGTTCGGTGCATCGCCAGAACGCTTCACAACAATTGCAGCCATGAATCGCGACCATTACCCAGGTTATGCTGCCACTGGGGAGCCTGGTGACAATCAATCGTGGGACCTGCGCGTGCAACAATTTGGACTGCGCAGGTACTCATACCCTGGATGACGAATTTCTGGACAACGTGGACGAAGACTGGGTCTTGCAACGGACAGCCTCAGAAGAATGGACTGACTATATGCAATTTTTCAGTCGGGTGTGGCTTAAGTTTTGCTACAGCATGGAAAAAGGGCCAAACTGCGTCCCCTCTATGGCCGGAGTTACATGGTGGCAGCACTGTGGGAAACATATGACTTTCTTGCCCGAAACAACTTTGACTTTTCTGACTTGTTAGAATCAGAGTTTGAGCTCTGATTCAGCGAAACACGGTGAAAACAAATGAGGGCTCAGTGCTACTGAGTGTGTTTCAATCAATGTCTGTACTAGTATGGTAGTGCGGCAGACATTGTCATGGACAAGCCGGTTGGTGTGCAGGGCTGGGCTGTCAATGATTGCTTCATTGACATTGAATTGATTGATGCGATTCATAGAATCAGGGCTCAATGCCGCTGTGTTTCAATCAATGTGTGATGGCAAACATTGACATTGTCAACTGTGACAGTGGACATTGGTGTGCCAGGCTGGGCTGCCAATGATTGTTTCATTGATTGATTCTGATGCAATGACACACTGCTGGCTTGTCATGTCAAGGTGTTCTTGGTTTGACAGTCTGCATCGCTGACAGAATCTGAAGCCAATTCAAGTCAGTTGGAGCAATTGCGGCAGGTCCATGGACTTGTCCGAGCCGGATGTGCTTTGGCCAGGCAGGGGCGCAGGGGCTGACTCAAGTCAACGGTCCTACTTTGCGGGTTTCCATGTCGACTTCTTAGTTGATTGGTTTGTCAAGTCAACTTAAGCGGATTGACTGATGAAAACAGTTAATTAAAACATATACCGCTGCAGCCTTGGCTCGAGCTTAAGTTATCTACTTGACTTGAGTGTATTGAGTCTTAGGTCCTAAGGTCTCAGTGACAATTTGAATTAATTGTTAACGATGAAACGCCCTTCGCCGTCAGATTAAGCAGCGGCGACTCATCAGCAGGTCCGAGTCTCTGACAAGGGGCTGAAAGCCAGCCCGCCGGCTGCCGCGGCCCGAGGGGCACCTCCGGGAAGCTTACTGCTTCATCTGAAATCGGCTCCGCCCTCACCACCTGCCGCAAAGACCGAGCCCTACAGGACATGCTGGCGGAAAGCCCAGTCGACGACCCCCCGCCCCCGTTGCTGTGGCACACACCCATGATCGCCAACAACGACGAAACTTGACGAGACTCATTAGATTGCGGCGTGTGAGTCGCTAAATGTAATTGTGAGTATCTTTTGAAGGTCTATTTCTAATTTAATAATTGAAATTTGTTTACTAGATTTGATTGAGAAGTGAGGCCACTGACGCATTTTGTGTCGGTGAACTTGGGCTTGAGTATCATCCCGCTGGGAGTGAGAATGTGGCTGACCACTGGAGCCTTCGGGCGTCGTTGGACCTGGCCATTGAGCGGGCTGGGTGGAGCCATCAGCTCCTTGGCAGCAGCATCAGTGAATTGCATCAAACGCGACCTCGCTCACGTTTACTTATTCTTTGTGTGTCGTGATGAATCTAGGTCGGTGAATTAATTAAATTAAGCATTGGCGTTTGTTGCGACAGTTTTCAGTGACTGCTGCAAGCGCACTGAGGGATGGCTGCTGGTTCGTGACAATAACGTTCACACAGGAAGGCCTTGACTACTTTCTGAACCCAGAGCGTGCGAAGATGAAGAAGGGCGGCAAGGCCTTCAAGGACAAGACATTGCTTTGCATCAACTGGACTGGCTGGGCCAGGTTCTACGTGAATTTCCTTGGGGGTGGCAGCAACTTGTTTGAGGCGACAATTGTGGACGCCAATGGAGATGAAATGCTCGGGGCTGTTGAATCCCCGGGCGACTGAGCAGTGAGGGTGGGGAAAAATCGGGGCCCAATGCCACCCCCACTCACCGCACTGAATTGAGAGCCTTGACTAGCTTGGGAAGGAACACTATGAGAGAACTGAATTTACGAGTTTGCTCTGATTGAGTCATGATTCATTCCTAAGAAGGTAGCTAAATTGTGACAACATTTAGTCTGCGGTTGCTGTTAAGTATGTATGAGCTTGTTGTTTTTGTGAGACATTCAGTGGACCAACATCATAGCATCGTTAGGTGGATTGATGTCGTGCCCGCTTCCAATCCAAGCAAGTCAAGGACTCCTCACTGTTTGAACCTTGAACATTCATTCATTGTCATTCATGTTACATTGTTACATGACATGTTTATTGAATGCTTCGCTTGATCATCAATCACTGTAACTCAAAACTACTTGGCGTGTTATGGCCAGCCATGACTCATGACTGGCCATAACTTACAGCATGACATGCTATTCCGGAACTCATGACTTGTGTGGCGGCCTTTCAGAGGCCGACGATTGAACACTCAATGAATGAATCTTTGTTCCCCACATCTTTGTGTGGGGTTCTTACTTTTACCGCTCCGCGCCCGCCGCCCGCCGTCCGCCGTCCGGCCCCGCCGTCCGCCGCCCGCCCCGCCGCCCCCGCCGCCCACTCACTCACACTCACTGACTCACTCACACTCACTGACACACTCACTCACTCACACTCACTCACACTCACTCACTCACTCACTCACTCACTCACTCACTCACCCGCATCACTCACTCACACACACTCACTCACACACACTGACTCAGTCACACACACTCACTCACACTCACTCACACACACTCACTCACTCACTCACTCACAGGGGCAGCATTTGGGAGCTGTTTAAAGGGCTGGGGTGTTGTCGCGCGCGCGGCTTGGGGCTCGCGAAATCGTGGCAGGCGCAACACTTTGGAGATGCCGTTGCCGAAGTCGTGGCAGGGGCAGCATTTGGCAGGTGTCACTCACACACACTCACTCACACACACTCACTCACTCACACTCACTCACACTCACTCACTCACTCACTCACAGGGGCAGCATTTGGGAGCTGTTTAAAGGGCTGGGGTGTTGTCGCACGCGCGGCTCGGGGCTCGCGAAATCGTGGCAGGCGCAGCACTTTGGAGATGCCGTTGCCGAAGTCGTGGCAGGGGCAGCATTTGGCAGGTGTCACTCACACAAACTCACTCACACACACTCACTCACACACACTCACTCACTCACACTCACTCACACTCACTCACTCACTCACTCACAGGGGCAGCATTTGGGAGCTGTTTAAAGGGCTGGGGTGTTGTCGCGCGCGCGGCTCGGGGCTCGCGAAATCGTGGCAGGCGCAGCACTTTGGAGATGCCGTTGCCGAAGTCGTGGCAGGGCAGCATTCTGTGCATCTGAGCGTGTGTTTGCGTGGCAGGGGCAGCATTTGGCAGGTGTCACTCACACACACTCACTCACACACACTCACTCACACACACTCACTCACTCACACTCACTCACACTCACTCACTCACTCACTCACTCAGGGGCAGCATTTGGGAGCTGTTTAAAGGGCTGGGGTGTTGTCGCGCGCGCGGCTCGGGGCTCGCGAAATCGTGGCAGGCGCAGCACTTTGGAGATGCCGTTGCCGAAGTCGTGGCAGGCGCAGCATTCTGTGCATCTGAGCGTGTGTTTGCGTGGCAGGGGCAGCATTTGGCAGGTGTCACTCACACACACTCACTCACACACACTCACTCACACACACTCACTCACTCACTCACACTCACTCACACTCACTCACTCACTCACAGGGGCAGCATTTGGGAGCTGTTTAAAGGGCTGGGGTGTTGTCGCGCGCGCGGCTCGGGGCTCGCGAAATCGTGGCAGGCGCAGCACTTTGGAGATGCCGTTGCCGAAGTCGTGGCAGGCGCAGCATTCTGTGCATCTGAGCGTGTGTTTGCGTGGCAGGGGCAGCATTTGGCAGATGTCACTCACACACACTCACTCACACACACTCACTCACACACACTCACTCACTCACTCACACTCACTCACACTCACTCACTCACTCACAGGGGCAGCATTTGGGAGCTGTTTAAAGAGCTGGGGTGTTGTCGCGCACGCAGCTCGGGGCTCGCGAAATCGTGGCAGGCGCAGCACTTTGGAGATGCCGTTGCCGAAGTCGTGGCAGGCGCAGCATTCTGTGCATCTGAGCGTGTGTTTGCGTGGCAGGGGCAGCATTTGGCAGGTGTCTAAAGGGGTGGGATGTTGTCGCGCGCGCGGCTCGGGGCGCGCGAAATCGTGGCAGGCGCAGCACTTTGGAGATGCCATTGCCGAAGCGTGGCAGGCGCAGCATTCTGTGCATCTGAGCGTGTGTTTGCGGGGCAGGGGCAGCATTTGGCAGCTGTCTAAAGGGATGGGATGTTGTCGTGCGCGCGGCTCGGGGCGCGCGAAATCGTGGCAGGCGCAGCACTTTGGAGATGCCATTGCCGAAGTCGTGGCAGGCGCAGCATTCTGTGCATGTGAGTGTGTGTTTGCGTGGCAGGGGCAGCATTTGGCAGCTGTCTAAAGGGTTGGGATGTTGTCGCGCGCGCGGCTCGGGGCGCGCGAAATCGTGGCAGGCGCAGCACTTTGGAGATGCCGTCGCCGAAGTCGTGGCAGGCGCAGCATTCTGTGCATCTGAGCGTGTGTTTGCTTGGCAGGGGCAGCGTTTGGCAGCTGTCTAAATGGCAGCATTTGCAGCCGTGCCAGAACACATCATCGAGCCGCACTTCAGGACGCCCCAATCGAAAGATTCGGACGCGTGGATGATTTGGAATTTGCTTGCATCTGCGGTCGCGGGAGCGACCTATATACGCTTGTAGAACCAGCTGCAATGCAAAGAAGCTCGCAGAAATGGGGCTCCGCTCTTGGAAGGCTTTCGTCTTGAAAAACTTAGCGCCTTACAGCGCAGGATGCATGGGGCCAGGCTGGCAGATACATGCTGCGCCTGACGCGTTGGCACTTCAAGCCATATGTTAAACATATGCCGCTGACATATGCCATTGGCGATGCCAATGCGACCCCTCGATCTGCCAGAGCGAAAAACAAAGCGCTGAGAGTTTTTGACATAGCTGACTGCGTGAAGGTTTTGCATGTGAGGGTCTTTGCATGTCTCGGATTTGGGATTATTCGCTGCTCGGCAGATGCAAGTGTCGCATACTTCAATAAGCATAGACTTGTGAGGTTATCCGGCCCTTTAATTCTTATCTGAAATGCAGACAGGCCAGCAGCGCTTGTCTGACAGGCAGACTCACAGCAGAATTTGGAAAAAGGACACGCGTGCTTTGCAGGCAGTGCCTTCTAATCTAGTTTTCCACGCGAAAAACACAATGTATCACAGTGTGTCTTTATTTATCACTGACTCAAGTGATTGGAAAACCTCTTGCAGCTGGGCTTGAACATGCAATTCTTCAAACTTTGTCTCCTTTTGTTTGTCGACCATTGCTGAATGTGCCTGCACCGCCAGGCTGACTGAGCACGCTGCGCTGGGAGCCTAAATTTAGCCAAGTTGCTGTTGTGGTGCCAAATTGTAGTCAAGTGCTGCAAACTGTGAAGATGACTTGTAGGGGGGTAGGCTGTGCAATTTCGTCATGATTAAAGCCTCATGATGTGAACTATTCAATTCCAGCTCGCTTGCAAACTTCGGCACTGCGAATTGATCACTCTCAATGGGTTGTCAACCATCGGAATCGACCATACCGCGTGTCTGATTCAGTGTGTGTCCACCTCTTACTGAATGCTGCATTCTTTATGCATGGTTTCACGGCTGTCAGCATTTGTGCCAATTCACCCTGTGGAACTCGAGGCGCCCACGCAAACAACCATGTGCCCATGCAATACAATGACACGAACCTATTACTATTTTCCAGCACGTTCAACAGGGTCTTATATGGGTGCCCCCCAAGCTGAACCTGAAATGAGACTGCTGGAAAACAAACAAGTCAGGTTTATAGTTTTAAGCTCCCAGCGCCGGGGCATGACAGTCAGTGAAGACCGGTGTGCTCAGCCTGGCGCAGGCAAATTCAGCAACGGTTGACAAATGACACAGACAAAGTTGGAAGAGTTTGATTGAAGTACTTTTCATTTCAAGTGTGGAGGGAGGGTCGGTCAGGGTGTAGTGCTACCTCCCCTGGAGTATTTTCACCAGTCATAAGACCCAGTAATAAGACCCTAAGACCATTTCCACACAGTTTTCCAGGTTTGACACTATTTCACTATTGGCTGGGTTTTGCCTTTTGACCTGTTTGCCTGAGTCTGAATGAAATGCTGCGGCTTACAAGTCAGTAGACCAGATTCGCAGAACTGCAGCCAGGAACCAATTGCAAATTCAAATAATCCAAAACGTTTCCAGACACACTCGAGTCATTGATTCATGCATAAATTTGCAAATCTATGTGGAGCAACGGTCAGACTCGTCTCTGGACCGGCGATAGCCAGGTCAAGTCATTGTGCCCGCGCCTCACGAACCGTGGCACTGGCAGGATTTTGTTCCACAAACAATGGGTGTTCTGCGGTCGAGGAATGTCGAGGGACGCGTTGCTTGCGCTCCCCACAAATTTGGTGGACGAACATGGTGGAGTTCAGACGCAGCGGGGCCAGTCAAGCTTCAATCTGCCTTCCACAGGGACAGTCCCAGTAGCAATCAAGTGCGCCTGGCAACCCCTGAGTCTGAATCATCACTACACTCGTCAACAGCATGCCAACTGCCATCACTGCTTGTCATCCCGCAGTGAGGGGTTGAGAGTCTGGGCTCAATCAAGTCCTGAACCACAAACCGCTGCAACACAAGTCGTTGTGTCAATTCAATGCAGCAGCTGGAAGCAATTGACATGGACTGTCAGCGATTCAGCGACCGTGGGTTTGCCCATGACCTAAGCACACAAGCTCTACTAAATGCGACATGGACACACATGTCCTAAATTTTGAACTTAAGAAGTCACATGTCACAACTAGCAGCCCGGGGACGACTTGCCAATTCTTTTTGTCCACTGAGTTCACCGGTGAATCACTGAACATTGAGTGATCCAGCACACCACCGAATTATGATGCAACATTTAGCAGCTTGGCAAGCTTGTCATCATTCATTACATTATTCGTCCCATTGACAAGTCGAGACAAGACAATAACTTGCACTGAGCCCTGACTCTCATGTTCCTGTCTTGGTAGACTTGTCAGGCGTCTTCCCAATGGCAATTGAAACTGTCCAGTTGCCCACACAATCCTTGCAGAATGAATATTTCTGTACAGCATGTGAGCGGACATGGGAGTGTGTAAACGTGCGCCACTTGGTGTGACACACAAATATGTCAGTGCATCAAAACTAACTTTGGCTGCTGGCAATGAGTGCAGTGCAGGCACCAGGTCGACTTACGGCGCCACTTGCAAAGCATACAATGAATGAAATATGAGCTTGTAGCACAGATGTAGAGCAAGGCGCGCAGGACCGCAATGTCTACCATGAAGTCAGACATCATCGTTGACATCATCACATGGGCAAAGTCTGATTCACTTAATCCCTGAAGTCCTGGCGTTTGTTCTTGCATTGCTGCTTGCTGCTGTTCCTGGAGTCTTTCCTGCTACTGATGTTGTTCGCTTATCGCTGAAGTCTTTCCTGCTTGCTGATCACCAGCGCCGTGGGCTGCCACCTACCAGGCTGTGATTGAACCACTCACCACTCATGACATGAATCGAGCCAGGTCACTGCTACCCACTGGCCACCACAATGCTGAAAATTGCACATGACATGCCACATCAGTCAATCAACACACAATTCAATGCAAGGCTGACAATCAGGCACAGACTGACAAGCATGCAGCGAGTTTGGACATTGGACACCGACCAATCTGAAAACACATCAGCTTTGTCAGGCCTGACACTCCTCACTCACAAACCTTGCTATTGAATTATTGACCAAACAATTGTTTAAATTAAGTTGTTCATTTCGCTATTGGCCAAAGTAAGGGCAGCTGTCAAGCGGCAGCAAATGCGGAGACAGTGTGAATTGAAAGCGAACAGAAGACAAAAGAGTTCGCCACATGGCTGCAGAAGGAGTATTAGAGTTCAGCCCTGGCTCTGCGAACGACTATGTTTGGTCTCTTGAAGGCAAAAACAGAGCAGCAAAGTCTCCGCCAATTACGGTCAGATCGTGTACAATGACACTATGTTGCAACTTTAGGCTCCGCAGAATTACGGTCAGATCGTAGACACCTTTACTCTCATTACGGTCAGATCGTAAGCAACTTTAGTCTCCGCAGAATTACGGTCAGATCGTATGCAACTCTAGTCTCCGCAGAATTACGGTCAGATCGTACACAACTTTAGTCTCCGCAGCATTACGGTCAGATCGTACGCAGCTTTAGTCTCCGCAGAATTACGGTCAGATCGTATACAACTTTAGTCTCCGCAGAATTACGGTCAGATCGTATACAACTTTAGTCTCCGCAGAATTACGGTCAGATCGTGTACAACTTTAGTCTCTCCGCAGAGTTACGGTCAGATCGTACGCAACTTTAGATTACGGTCAGATCGTACACAACTTTAATCTCCGCAGAATTACGGTCAGATCGTACACAACTTTAGTCTCCGCAGAATTACGGTCAGATCGTATACACCTTTTGTCTCCGCAGAATTACGGTCAGATCGTATACAACTGCAGTCTCCGCAGAATTACGGTCAGATCGTATACAACTTTAGTCTCAGCTCCGCAGAATTACGGTCAGATTCCAGAACCTCCTCAAACTTAGTCAGTAGTATAAATTAGTCTCTGTCGTCGGCAATGATTTAGCCGTAGTACTGTAGTTCTGCAGAGACCTGGCTGACAGTCTAATCGTGCCGCAATCAGAGCACTGAGTAGTAGGTAGTTCTCTACAATACTACAGAGATAGAACTGAAGTTAAGTCTACTACTACACTAGCCGTGAAATTTATGCGGCAACGCAATTTGCCTGACAATCTGACCGTAATATGATGGAGAAAACATTTACCTGACAATCTGACCGTGTGCAGAGACGACTTTAATATAATACTGACAATCTGATGGTAACACATTATTTATTAGTCCTGCGGAGAATAAATTTGCCTGACAATATATGACATTATAATGAGAACCGTAAAGTTCTGTGGAGACTGACTGGATTTGCCTGACAATCTGAACATAATACATATCATAAGTCTGGAGTAAAGTTCAGTGGAGACTAAATGCGCCTGCGATTCTGCCTGCGGAGACAGAATTACATTTGCGTGACCATAAAGAAAACAAAACACGTACAAAGGAGACAAACAATTAATTGCCTGACAATCTGCTTTCTACGGAGACAAGCGTTGCCTGGCAATCTGGTTCGATAAGTATTTGTTTACACTAGTCCGGCAGAGTGACGACCTTTGCCTGACTAACCATTAGTAAAGTTCCAGGAATCGGTCAGCCATTATGTTCCAGTACTTTCTATGGATAGATTCATAAATTACAAGATTTGTCTCTTAAATGTGAAAGTCTTAGATTGTACGGCAAACTAATCTCCGGCTCAACAGTGACAGTTCACAGGAATCAGCCAATGCAGAGGCTACACGGTTAGTAATAATATGTTACTCTGCAGGCAGAACTCAGCCACTGTCACAGGCATATGAATGGTTTGGTTGTGGCAATTTCGTAGTCTTCGCAGGAACCGGGGGAGTCACAGAATTTACTGAGTTCCTGCCTAGTGATGTAAGAACATTTATTGTGTTAGCTCCTCATAGGTTGCAAGTTAGGCTTGCTGATCAGTATAATTATGTTACACCCACTCACCCGGAGTTTTACTTGCATGTGTTGTATTAAATTAGTGAGTGAATGATCAAGTAAGTTCATTAATTAGATTGACATTGATCTAGCCGTCTGTGCTTGCAACAATTTCAGTAGATCACTAACTAGATTGTAAACAGTAGTTATGTTTTGGCAACATGTAATTTACTGTAAATGTAGCCTACACAGTCACACAGAACCCGCAGTGCCTATTGTCATTCTCAGAAAGTCAGCTAACAAAAAGTAGTTGCAAGAATAACAAGCGCTGAACAGGGGCCAGCTGTTCTCACACGTGCGCAGCACAGGCTAATTTTATTAAACAACAATAAACACTGCGGCTAGACTGTTGGCATTTGCTGTTAATGCATACAAATCAAAGAGAAGTGTAATCTCATTTACATTCATCTCTGGCTGCTCCTGACCTGGTCCGCTTGTCAATGATTCAGAATGATTGTTGCAAGTGTCTTGGACTTGGGGGATCCATCAGCCAGCGCCATTGTTTCATTGACATGGACTGGAACAACAACGATTCCATATGTAACAACACGAAGAAGCATCATTTTATTATGTTCATTGAGGTCATTGCACAACCTGCAGTGCAGCCAATTCAATTAACATAGATATTGAAGAACTTGGCGCACCAAATAAAATAAGCTCAGGGTTTCAATCTGTCCCTTTTCTCGCAGATGTTTTCCATTTAATGAATCCCGATTCATTAAGTTGTCACACCACAGGCCGCTGCCCACTGACTGTGCACACCAGCATCCAATTTGACCCACTCTAGTCATGACACCATTGGCACTGAGCCCCAACTAATGAGTGTCATTGACTGCCTCAAAGTCTCTCGAATACTATATCACAGAGGCAAAGCCTTGTGACAACATTCACCATGAGTGGGTTTCCCGCCGTCCCCCAAAACTCTGCGGACTTCGAGCAGTTCATAGGGCAACCATTCTCCCGATTCAAGCCATTGTTCGAAAGCCACTTGCAGCTGCCCGCACTCCGGCGATTCGAGGTCCTGCGTTGGATGTCACAGGTCTGGTGGCACACACTTGTTTGTCGATCGGCTGACCTCTCAACAAAGCTCTGAACGAAATGCTTAATTCAAATGATTGGCGATTGTTACATTTTGTTACACCTGTTTGCATGCACCAAAGCACTTACACAGGCTGACTCATACATTCGATGGTTTTCTTTGGTGTGTGTGGTTGGCACGGTCGTCGACTGACCGATCTCGTCATGGCCGGCCAAGTCATTCGCGATCTTGCGGTCGCTGTCACCGTCAATCACAGGCGGCGTCTTCGGCGCTGCCTTTGCCAGGCGCCGGCGACAGCGCAGGCCTGGCCGTGGCTTTGCTCAATTGCGCTGTGGGTGGCACAAGGCCCTGACTTCCCGACACAATAATAGCCGTAGCTTTCGGCGGATCTCCGGCAGGGAGGGCCACGGCGGCTGCCTTCGACTTGGTCGTGACCGGGCCGGCCTTGACCAGCGCGATCATGGACGGTTCAATCGATAATTGTTCTGGGTCCTCTTGTTGAAGAGGGAATTCAGATCACTTTCTGCTGCCACAGTGTCCAACAAGTGCCACTGGTCCCCAGAAGAGTTCCCCGAGCTGAAGCAAATTACCTGTGACGCGTGTGGTCTAACCGGTATTCTTGAAAGGTGTCACGCTGTGCTTGCGGCAAATTGGATTATGGGCGAGCGCTGGCTGTCCTTATCAATGGGACATTGACATCTTCCACCAGGACGCTAAGCGCACCATGGGAGCATATGATCCTGGTGATTCAGAATTTCATTTTCAATGTCAATGGTCCAAGGAGCAGGCAATGATAATAAATAAGGGCTCAGTGCCAATCACTGCTCGCTGTTGTCAAGACTTTGCTGCGGTGCAATGGCCGGCTGACGAGTCTTTTCTGAGTCTGATTTGCATGTCAATGTCGTCAGTGTTGGTTGACTTGTGTTGCAAATTGAATTGTCAGCGTTGCGCGTTGCAGACTTCTTTTTACGGCGTATTAGTGACTGTCAGCGCGCCCAAGTCGGAAAACGAGAGCTGTCAAACCATGTCACAGTGTCCTTTCAACCAGCCCGAGTCACGCCGAACTGAAATGAACCCTTTAAAATTGTGTAGTGGTTTAAGACGATCTGGAAGGCTTGAAACCTGGTGTCAAGACAAGTGTTCGAGTTTTACTGACGGGTGATTGGTTTTTAATAGCAGCTTCAGTGCTAAAATCAGTGCAATATCATGTGGCCCAGTTGGCTGAAGTCTAGCTTAAGTCCGCCAATTGCAGAGGCAATGCCGCCTGCTCGGACATTGCCTTTGAGGAGAGACTTTGCTCTTGAAACGACGCCATGCTGAACAAGCTGCCGCCGGAAAAGCTGTTACCGGGAGTCACTGGATCGACGATGCTTGCGAGCCTTGTCTCTAGTTTGGCTCTTCTTTGCAAATGTCTTTAATTTAAGTCTAATTCTATTG